AATATAAAGTTATTAGGGAGGAAAACCCGTCTGGATAACAGCAGACTGACTGCTCGTAAAATATACGACAGGTCTGGACCACTTGTTTCTGAAAAAAATCTTAGAATACGAAAACGTTGGTGAATGCCACAAACTCTCCTAAATCATTCGTACGCACAACTTAAGAACAAATCTGTGCGTACGAACGGTTCTTGCATGAGGCCCATTGATTACAATGGTTGCGTATTTGCTGCGGAGGTCGGACCGCATCTGGTGTAAATTAGAGACAAATTACTTCTCAAGGAGCTTGAGGAACATGAAAAACCAACAGGCTGGACGACACAGCACAATGATCAGACAAACACTGAGGACAGAATAGAATAGAAATGGCCTTTATTGTCCCGCAGCGGGGAAATTCAGGTGTCACAGCAGCATCCATACAAAGGTTCACACACTAGTTACTTTACAAACTATAGATAGTACACACAAAACAAAATCTACACTTACTAGCCATGATACAACTACTAATAATAAAAATAAAAATGTAACATGAAGAATTGTGCAAGAATGGAAAAACAATGTTTTGTTTCAGAATCCAACATTCGGAATCAGAATTTTCCTGTTTTGAGTTCAAAAACAATCCCAGCAGACCAATAACTGTAAAGTGAAGAATCACAATACAGACAAAAACACAGATGTGCAATTACAGCAGAATATAGTGCAAATGATTGTTCGGTTGAATAATTACAATGAATGGTAACAGTCTAAAATTTAGACTGTAAACGATGTTGCAGCAGCAGGTATGTAAACACTTGTGATTTTTGTAAACACTTATTGAGATATTTGCTAACACTTATTATGATTTTTGGACGTGGTGCTGGTTATAGAGTCTGACAGCTGCTGGGAGGAAGGATCTGCGATAACGCTCTTTTGTGCACCTCGGATGCAGCAGTCTGTCACCGAAGGAGCTCTCCAGTTCAGCCACAGCTTCGTGCACAGYGTGGGAGATGTTGTTCATCAATGATGTAATTTTAGTCAGAGTTCTTCTGTCTCCCACCACCTGCACTGTGTCGACGGGGCATCCCAGCACAGAGCTGGCCTTCCTGATGAGCTTATCTCAGGACACAGAATATAAAGGCAAATCAAAGAAACAATAGGAAACACCTGGAGGAGACACAAGAGGAAACAGGTGAGCATGGGCGCAGCTGGAGGAATGACAGACAGCAGGGCAGAGATACACAGGGAACACAGAAACTCTAAAAAAAATAAAAACAAGGAAAAATAAACASAGACCATGACAGTGTCACCCTGGGACCATCACCCATTAATCAAGGCTGAAAAGTTTCCAGAATCGCTCAATTCCTTTTTGTTGAATACAACAACAAAATTAATAATAATAATAATAATAATAATAATAATAATAATAATAATAATAATAATAATGACACTGAGGTTCAAATTTTATGCATTTAAATAAAACACAGACAGTGTCCATGCATCTTTGACCTATCACAATGTTTGTTTACGTGAAACTTTGTAAAACATTTTTCCCCTTCTGTTTTCAACACTCACCAAACATGTAGCCTACCAACAAAGCACAGTTGAATAATTTTGTTCCACAGTGCGTGGTTATTGATCGGCAGAATTAAAAGTGTGCATAAATCAKCTTACCTTTAGATCTTGGTCATTTTTGGGTGAACAGGTGAAGATTATAGATGGGGGCTGCTGACTGTTGTTCTTGTGACAGTAATGACATGATTCAGTCCATAAAGACAGGCGGACATGGGAAGTTTGTARCACTCTGCCTACCACGTTGAAACAGTGAAAACATTTTTTCATCTGTAGTACGACATGTGTCCCGGTACTGTTATTTCATTCATGCACTGGCCAAGGTGTGTTAGGCGTCTTTGTTGTTTAAAACTGCCACAACCAGATTTCTTACTCATTCCTGTAGGCGGGGTTCCCAAAGTGTGGGCCGCGGCCGCCAGGGGGCGCTAGAGGGTCCTCAGATGGCTAGATGGTTTTTTCTATTCTTTTAACTTAAGATCTGTCAGATGAACCTGGACATGTTTGGTATCAAAATAAACCTAAGAATCTTGGCTAAAACGGAATGGAAAATTGGCTCATGGAAACTATTTTTATATCCACAAAACACAGTTCAAACATCAAGCAGTTGAATCAGAAAGTAAACAAACTGTACAAAATGTCATCATTGCAAATCTGTAAATACATTCAAACAAATCTGTAAAGGAAATTTTTTGACATTATTTTTAAAGCAAGTCAAAAATAGACACCAAACTTGGTTATAAAGTGTGTTGAAAGATTTTTTTCCCTTGATTTTGAGTGAATATGGTCCAACTGAAGTTAAATATAATTTCTCATTATTTTCTATAATATATATATGGTGAGAAATGTTTCGATATTATTTCAAAATAACAGACATTCAATGACAAGTCTTTTCAGGCAGGTAAAAAAAACTTTTGCAATTAAAAACTCAAGATTTCTTAACATTTATTAACAGTGTACAGTGAACTCATTGTTGTGTTCAAGAAACCAGTCAGGTAATTTGTGCTTTATGGCATGAAGCRTTATCCTGCTGGAAGTAGCCATCAAAAGATGGTACACTGTGGTCATAAAGAGATGCACATGTTCAGCAACAATACTCAGGTAGGCTGTGTTGTTGACATGATGCTCATTTGGTACTAATGGGCCCAAAGTGTACCAGGAAAATACCCCCCACATCTTTGCACCACCACCACCAGCCTGAACCACACAAGGCAGGATGGATCCATGCTTTCATGTTGTTGACGCCAAATTCTGACCCTACCATCCGAATGTCGCAGCTGAAATCGAGACTCRTCAGACCAGGCAACGTTTTTCCAATCTTCTATTGTCCAGTTTTGGTGAGTCTGTGTGAATTGTAGCCTCAGTTTCCTGTTCTTAGCTGACAGGAGTGACACCTGGTGTGGTCTTCTGCTGCTGTAGCTCATCTGCCCCAAGGTTCGATGTGTTGTGTGTTCAGATGCTCTTCCGCAGACTTTGATTGTAACAAGTGTTTATTTGAGTTACCATTGTCTTTCTATCAGCTCCAACCAGTCTGCCCATTCTCCTCTGACCTCTGGCATCAACAAGACATTTGCACCCACAGAACTGGCACTAAATGGATATTTTCTCTTTTTCAGACCATTCTCTGTAAAACCTAAAGGTGTTGGTGAAAATCCCAGTAGATCAACAGTTTCTGAAATCCTCAGACCAGCCCGTCTGGCACCAACAACCATGCCACGTTCAAAGTCACTTAAATCACCTTTCTTTTTCATTCTGATGCTCAGTTTGAACTGCAGCAAATCGTCTTGGCCATGTCTACAGTTGCTGCCATGTGATTGGCTGATGAGCAGTTGGACAGGCATACCTAATAAAGTGGCCTATGTATATACGTATGTAT